CAGCCTGGTTCTCCATTATCTTTTGTATCTTACACCTGTCATTAGCACACTTTTATTTCTATCTCCTTTTTCTATCTCCTGAATCTAAGAAGTTCCTTGCAAAATACCCAAGCTCATAGCAAACGCAATTCAGACATGATCCTTCCTACTGAGAGTTAGAAATCAAAGAATTCAGACTGAAGGTCATCTCAATGCACTTTACAACCAGTGAGTATTTTTGAAGTGTACTTCCTAGTGGGATGTAGAAATGCTAGCAGCTAATTTGCACAGGGCAAATCCCACAGTCAGCAATGTGTTCATTTGTTTTGGTAATTATGATTAAAGATTAAATTTGACCAGGATACCAGGGAAACAAATCTGCTGATTGTCTTCAAAATAGCACCATGGAATCTTCCAAATTGCTCTGAGAGACCGCTCTGGTTTAAACGATATTCCAAAAGACAGCACCTCTGACAGTGCAGCACTTGCTGGATACTGAACTGGAGTTTTAGCCTAGACATTGTGCTTAAGCCTCTGAGAGTACATCTTGAACCCATGATGTTCTGACTCAGAGGCGCAAGGTTCTCACCAGCTGTGCCACAGCTGAGCTCTTCCCTCAATCCAATTGAGTTGGGCTTGAGTTCAAGTGCTCATGCTGCCAGGACAGTGTGCTGTATTTCTCAACACACCATACAACCCTTACTTATCAGTCATCAACCACCTACTGTTCTCTGATTCAGCCAGCATCACTTTTACACATCCTGTGACTGTGTGGAGTCTGGTAAATGTGACGCAGACAATCATGGGGTCTCACTATAAAGGAATGATCAAATTAAGTCAACATATTTAGACCACACTCAAATGTAGTGTGAGAGATTGTTTTCCGTCCTTTATCAGAGCTGATTAATGTGGAGCCAGGTCTGTCACAAATACCTTAAACTTCTGGATTCTTCTGGTTAGGAATGCTTTCGTGTCTCACACATTTTTATGAAAAATCTAAATTTCTGACTGGGACCATTTGTTCATACATTACACATCAAAAACTCGATTCTTTACGAATAATGTTCTGTTATGTCATGTGTAAGTATGTATTAAATACGTGCTTGTATATGTCAGATTATTTATATATAAAATACACACAGTGTGTCATGTATATATCTGTCAGTATTTAATCTACATACCTGTGTACGACAGTATATGTATATGATAGTATGTGTGTGTCGTTATACATCAGTGCATCACATATATATAGATATCTGTGTGTTTGCTTTTTTGTGAGAATGTCTGTCTTTCCATGCACTCACGTTTACCGATTGTCTGATTGAGTAACTATGTGCGTGTATTTGTCTGTCTGCCTACCATAAGACATGCATTTAAATGCATAGTGCAAGCACCATTCTGCCTTGCTAATGTCCACAGAGATTAGTCTATCACTTCAAACAAGATAAATTGCTGCTTCAGAAATTGCCTGTGTATTGCTGAAGTTAGATTTCTCATTTGTGCTGCTTCACCTGAGGTGCACCATCTGTTACACAGACTGTAACACAAACAAATAAACATGCACACATTCACAGTCACATTATACATAGAAACATAGAGAAAAGAATAATAGCACGAGTAGGTGATTCAGCCCTTCAAACCTGCTCCACTATTCAATATGATCATGGCTGATCAATTCAGTAACCTGTTCCCAGTTTCTCCCCCTGCCCTTAATCATTTACCCCCAAGAACTATATCTAAATCCTTCTTGCAAACATTCAGTGTTTTGGCCTCAACTGCTTTCTGTGGCAAAGATTTCCGCAGGCTCGCTGCTCTCTGAGTGAAGAAATTTCTTCTCATCTCAGGCCTAAATGGCTTATCCCATATCTTAAACTGTGGTCACAAGTCATACAACACCAGGTTATAATCCAACAGATTTATTTGAAATCACAAGTTTCGGAATGCTGTCCTTTTATCAGGTGAAGTGAAGAAAAGCATACAGGCACAGAATTTATAGGCAGACAGATCAATGGGCAGAGAGCTCAAAAGATCATACAAATAGTGTGAGCGCAGTGCCGAATAATAAGTCTCTGCAGGTGATCAAAAGTGTCAGACGTTGTGAGTAAAGTGTCAACAGCTGAATAGTAGGAGAATGGGATGACCTTTAATCCAATTAATTGAGGCACAGAGATAATTGCAAAAAATTAAAAATAAGATTGTGATGGAGACAAACCAAACGGCTGGAATAACATGATAGGTATAAGAGTCGCATGCCGAGGGTCTAACCAAAGTAACTGTACAAACTAGTTAAGGTTGAGAGATTATAATAATTTATCAAGGTGATGGTGTCAAACCATGGCAGTAGGGAAGATTTTACAAATACAGAACAGTACGGTGGGTTTACATGTAGCACAACATGAAACCAAGATCATGGTTGAGGCCGTCTTCATGGGTACGGAACTTGGCTATCAGTTTCTGCTTGGCAATTCTGCGTTGTTCTGTATCTTGAAGGCTGCCTTGGAGGCATCGAATCAGGCAACGGGACCCTGTGTGAGAACCTGTCTGGTTATGTTGAGGGCAACCCATTGTACAAAGAATACCAGCTTCTGTCGTGACTCTACAGATTTCTTACAGAAACTCAGCACCTACAGACCAGTTGAACCAGGAACATTCTGAGTGTAGTTTTAATACTCTACACCAGCATCTGCCAGAACAACTGCTTCACAGCAACAGCCTCAGTACTCAATATCACCAACTGCCAATTTCCAGATGCCATCCTACAACTCATCCGCTTCATCCTCAACCACAACATCTTCACCTTCAACAACAAGTTCTTCATCCAGACACATGGAACAGCCATAAGGACAAAATGTGCACCCCAATATGCCAACATTTTCATGCATATGTTCAAGACAGACTTCTTTGCTGCACAGGACTTCCAACAAACGCTATACACCAGATACACTGATGACATTTTCTTCCTCTGGACTGATGGTGAGGAATCACTGAAACAATTACATAATGATATCAACAAGTTTCATCCCACCTTCAGACTTACCATGGACTACTCTTCAGAATCAGTCTTATTCTTGGACACACACAGCTCCATCAGGGGCAGACACCTCAGTACCTCACTCTACCGCAAGTCCATGGATAACTTCACGATGCTGCACTTCTCTAGCTTCCACCCTAAACATAAAGAAGCCACCCCTTATAGACAAGCCCTGCGCATACACAGGATCTGCTCAGGTGAGGAGGAACGCGATGGACAGCTAAAGATGCTGGAAGACGCCCTCATAAGAACAGGATATGATGCTCAACTCTTCGATCGCCAATTCTGATGTGCCACAGCGAAAAACTGCATCGACCTCCTCAGAAGACAGATGCAGGACACAACCAATAGAGTACCCTTCATCATCCAGTACACCATGTTCTTCACACCCTTCAACATGTCATTGATGACGACAAACATCACACCAAAAGCATCCCTACGCCCCCACTTCTCGCCCTCAACTACCAATCCTTAAACTGACCATTGTTCGCAGCAAACTGCCCAGCCTTCCGGGCAACAACAGGACCATAACACCACAAAACCCTGCCATAGCAATCTCTGCAAGACATGTCTGATCATCGACATGGACACTACCATCACACATGGGAACACCACCCAACATGTATACGGCAGATAGTAATGTGACTCGGCCAATGTTGTCTATCTCATACACTGCAGGCAAGGATGCCCTGAGGCATGGTATATTGACAAGACATGCAGACGCTATGAAAACAGATGAATGTATACCACGCAACAAGCACCAGACAGAATGTTCCCTGTTCCCTTCCAGTCAGGGAACACTTCAGTGGTCAAGGACATTCAGCCTTCGATCTTCAGGTAAACGAAATCCAAGGCAGCTTTCGAGATACACAACGCAGAATCGCCGAGCAGAAACTGGTAACCAAGTTTTGTACAAAAACAGAAGCCACTGGAAAAGCTCAGCAGGTCTGGCTGCATCTGTGAAGAAAAAAATCAGAGTTAATGTTTCGGGTCCAGTTACCCTTCCTCAGAACTCACCGGGTCACCGGACCCGAAACACTGACTCTGATTTTTTCTTCACAGATGCTGCCAGACCTGCTGAGCTTTTCGGGATTACTTGTTACTTTGGTTAGACCCTCAGCATGCGACTCTTATACCTACCATGTTATTCCCGACATTTGGTTTGTCTCCATCACCATCTTATTTTCAAGTTTTTGTAATTATCTCTCTGCCTCAATTAATTGGATTAAAGGTCATCCCCTTCACCTACTATTCAGCTGTTGACTCACAACATCTGACACTTTTGATCACCTGCAGAGACTTATTATTCGACACTCCACTGACACCATTTGTATGGTCTTTTGACCTCTCAGCCCACTGATCTCTTTGCCTATAATTCTGTGCCTGTATGTTTTTCTTCACTTCACCTGACGAAGGGGCAGCACTCTGAAACTTGCGTTTTCAAATAAACCTGTTGGACTATAACCTGGGGTCGTGTGATTTCTGACCTTGTCCACTCCAGTCCAACACGGGCACCTCCACATCAAAACTGTGTAATCCTCACACTGCTGAATAAACAGGAATATCACACATTTACACGGTGAGTAATCTGTGCCCTGCTGAATCAACAGGAAGATCACACAGTTACATACTCCTTATCGTGCTGAAAAATTCTAGAATATGTATCGGTGTGCAATTTCCTGTTATTGGCACTGTGAACTGTGCCTAGCAAAGCAATCTTACAGGTATGTTTACACATCCCTTCCTGTGGAAACTCCCGTGCTAGATCTTGCTCATTACAGGGTTTCAGCAGCCAAAGACTTCTTGGTTCAGCACAAAATATTGGAAAGCCTGAAAATTGTTTCTGGGCAACATTGGGAGCACCTACATCAAAATGGTTATGTTTGGATAAGGAGCTGCTGTGATCTATGGAATTGCTGGAAAACGTTTGAGGTATTATTCCTAGAGGATAGTGGTACACAGTGCCTGTGAAAAGAAGGATCACCAATCACAAGACGAAGAGGAGATACAAGCAGGTGAGGCAACAGTCAACTCCTACTAGGGTAAAGCCAGATAGGGTAAGGAAAGCCTGGTAGGATAAGGCATGTTGAGGTAAGGACTGCCATGTGGATTATTTTCTATTCATTCACAGAATGTGGGTTTCAGTGCCTCGGACAGTATTTATTGCCCATCCCTGGTTGCCCTGGAGGAGGTGGTAGAGAACTGTCTTCTTGAGTCATTGCATATCTATCTTTCACAAAGTACAGAAGCAGAGTACAAATACGGAGCTTGTCTAGAGCAACAATGGATAAATTTCAATGAGGATGGATGCAGAAAATGCAGTATGTGCAGCACTGAGGCCAGAGCATAGTAAGGAGAAGAAAAATAAATAACAGTTATCAAAGACATATGCTGGTCCAACTAATTTTATAGAGTCACAGTTTTAGAGTCATACAGCATGGAAACAGACCCTTCAGTCCAACTCGTTCATGCCAACCAGGTATCCTAAACTGAACATTTGCCTGCATTTGGCCCATATCCCTCTAAACAATTCCTATTGGAGGGGAGGCAACAGCCTAGTGGTATTATTGCTGGACTGTTAATTCAGGGACCCACATAACATTCAGATAAACAGAAACACAGAGAGAAATCCGTGCTGTAAGTAAGCAAGGACACAAGAGTAACAGCTACTCTAAAGACCCAAGAAGATGGTGAAAAACCCTTACTCTAACTAAACATGAACACAGAGCATAATCCTTCCTCTAAATCAACAAGATCACAAAAGGTAAACCTTACTGTAAGTAAACAGCAGCACAAAGCAACCATTACTTTAAAAATGAACAAAACACAGTGACTGACCCTTGCTTTAAATAATCAAGAACACAGAAAGTAAGACTTACTTGAAAGAACAGGAACATGGTGAGTAACTCTTCTTTTAAATATTCAGGAACACAGAGAGTAACATTTGCTTTAAATAAAGAGGAACACAGTGAGTAGCCCTTACTCTAAATAAACATGACCATACAGAGTAAGAGATAGTAGGAACTGCCGTTACTGGAGTCTGAGATAACAAGGTGTGGAGCTGGATAAACACAGCAGGCCAGGCAGCATCGGAGGAGCAGGAAAGCTGACATTTCGGGTCTGGACCCTTCTGCCCATAGCATACAGAGTAAGCTTTACTCTAAACAAACAGGGACACAGTGAATAAATAAATGCATTTACTTTAAATAAACAGGAACACGGTGAGTAATAGTGAAGAAGGCATTTGAAATGCTTGCCTTTATTGGACAGTGCATTGAGTACAGGAGTTGGGAGGCCACATTGCGGCTGTACAGGGCATTGTTTCGACCACTTTTGAAATAGTGCTTGCAATTTCGGTCTCCATGAAACTTGAAAGGGCTCAGAAAAGATTTACAAGGAAGTTGCCAGGTTGGAGGGTTTGAACTATAAGGAGATGCTGAATAGGCTGGGGTTATTTTCCCTGGAGTATCAGAGGCTGAGGGATGACCTTATAGAGGTTTATAAAATCATGAGGGGCATGGATAGGGTTAGACAAGGTCTTTGCCCCGGGGTGTGGGAGTTAAAAACTAGAAGGCATGGGTTTGAGGTGAGAGGGGAAAGATTCGAAAGGGACTTAAGGAACGACTTTTTCACGCAGAGGGTGGTGCGTGTATGGAATGAGTTGCCAGAGGAAGTGGTGGAGGCTTGTACAATTACAATATTTAAATGGCTTCTGGATGGGTATATGAATAGGAAGGGTTTAGCGGGATATGGGCCAAATGCTAGCAAATGGGTTTAGATTTATCTGGGATATCTGGTCAACCTGGAGGAGTTGGACCGAAGGGTCTGTTTCTGTGCTGCGCATCTCTATGAATCTATGACTTTTCCTTTAAACAGGAACACAGAGAGTAACACATACTCTAAATAAATAGGAAGACAGTGATCAATCTAATCATACAGAAGCACAATGAATAAGCTTCACTCTAAGTCAACATGAACACAAAGTAACTTTACCTCTAAACCCTAAATATATAGGAATACTGTGTAACCCTTGCTTTAAATACACTGGAACAGTGAGTTAGCCTTCCATTAAATAAACAGGGACACAGCAACTTTTAGTCTAAAAAACAGGAATGCAGGGAGTAAGCCTTACTCTGGATAAATAGGAAAATTGTAACATTTTCTTGAAATAAAGAGGAACACAGTGGAAACTGTTACTCTAAATAAACAGGAGCACAGACAGAAAAAAGAGCATAGAGAATAGAAGTCTACAAAATTATGAGAGACATAGATAAGGTTGGTAGTCAGACGCTTTTTCCCAGGTGGAAAGGTCAACTACAAGAGGGCACAGGTTCAAGGTGAAGTGGGAAATTTTAGGAGAGAAGTGAGGGAAAAACTTTTCACACAGAGGGTGGTGAGTGCCTGGAATGCACTCAGTGGAGGTGGTGAAAGCATTTAAGGTGTATCTTGACAGACACATGAATGGGATATGAACAGAGGGATAGTAATTGCTGATGTGTAATAAGTAGCGGGTCTAAATAAGGATTAGGAATCAGCGCAGGCTTGGTGGACCAAAGGGCCTGTTCGTGTGGTGTATTGTATTGTATAATAAGCCTTATTGTAAATAAACAGAGACAGAAACACAGCAACTCTTATTCTAAATAAACAGGAGCATATAGAGTAACTCTAAATAAATAGGAACACAGACAGTGATTTTTACTCTATGTATAGTGGAACACAGTGAGTAACTCTTACTCAAAAATAACAGGAACAGAGTGAGCAATCTAAATAAACAGGAACACAGAGTAACCCTTCCTGTAAACAGACAAGAATACAATGAGTGAATCTTACTTTAAGTACCAAGAATACAGTAACATTTTTTGACATAATCAGGAATTAATCTAATTAATCATTATCTAATTAAACAGGGACACCATAAGTTAAGCTTACTCTAAACAAACAACAGTGAGGAACCCTTACTTTAAAATAACCACAACATAGAGTTGTGATCCTAACTTTAAAGAAACAGTAGTTAACCCTTGTGTTAAATAAAGCAGAACAGAGATTAAGCCTTACTTAAATGAAGTGGAACACAGAGAGTAATCTTTATTTTAAAGAAACAGGAAAACAATGAGTATCTCTAAATAAACAAGAACATAGAGAGTATGTTTTGAGTGTTTCTGCCCCCACCACCCTTACAGGCAGTGAGTTCTAGATTCCCAGCACCCTCTGGGTGAAAAATACTTTCTTCACATCTTCTCTAAACCTCCTGACCCTTAGCTTCAATCTACCTTCCTCCATCACGGGGAAAGGTTCTTTCTGCCTAACTTGTCTATGCCCTTCATTTCATACACCTCAATCATGTCCCACCTCAATCTCCTCTGCTCCAAGGAAAATAACCCCAATCCAACAATCTAGCCTGTTTTCATAACTAAAAAACTCTCCAGCTCAGGCTACATCCTGGTATATCTCCCTCTGCACCCTCTCCAGTGCTGTCACATTCCTTCTATAATATGGATTCCAGAACTGCACACAATACTCTAGCTGTGACCTAACCAACATTTTATACAATTCCAGGAGAACCTCTCTGCTTTTAAACGCCATGCCTCAGCTAATGAAGGCAAGTATCCCTTATGCCTTCTTAACCACTTTATCCTCCTGTCCCACTATCTTAAGGGACCGGTGTACATGCACACAAAGGTCCCTCTGATGCTCATTGCTTCCCAGGGTCCTCCTGTTCATCATGTATTCCCTTGCCTTGTTTGTCCTGCCCAAGTGCATCACCTCACACTTATCCAGATTACATTCCATTTGACATTTATCAGTCATCTGGCCAGCCCGTCTATATCCTCCTCACTATTTACTACCCCATAAATTTTTGTATCATCCATGAATGTACAGATCTATCCTATATTCAAGTGTAAATCATTTGTATATACACCACAGACAGCAAGCAGCAACACTGACCCCACTGGACACAGGCTTCCTGTCACAAAAACACCCTTCAATCATCACCCTCTGCTTCCTGCCTCTCAGCCAATTGTGCATCCAATTTGCCAAGTTTCTTTGGATCCCATGGACTCTTACCTTTGCTATCAGTCTCACATGTGGGACCTTATCAAAGGCCTTGCTGAAGTTGGAGGAGACAACATTGAATGTGTTGCCCTCATCTACACAACTGGTCAGCTTTTGGAAAATTCAATCAATTTAGCCAAACATGACTTCTCCTTAACAAAACCATGCTAACTGTTCTTGTTTAATCCCTGCCTCTCTAAATACAAATTCATTCTGTCCCTCAGAATTACTTCCAATATCGTCTCCATCCCTGAGGTTAGACTGACTGTGCTGTAGTTTCCTTATTTATCCTTGCTTCATTCTTGAATAATGTTATCACATTGGCTGTTAGAGAGTCTTCTGGCACCTCTCGTGTAGTCGAACAGGAATTGGAAATTATTGCCAGCATGGCTGCTATTTCCTCCCTTGCCTCAACGACAGCCTGGAATACGTTTCATCCAGGCCTGGAGAATTATCTAGTTTTAAGCCTGCCAGACCACTTGGAACCTCCTTTCTGTGCATGCTAATTTCTTTAAGTATATCACAGTCCTTCTCCCTGGTTTCTGTACACATATAATCCCTCTCACTAGTGAATACCAACAAAATATTCATTTAGAACCCTACCTATGTACTCTGGCTCCATGCACAAATTACTGCTGTGGCCCTTAATGAGTCCCACTCTTTCCCAGTTATCATGTTATCCATAATGTAGTTGCAAAATAACTTGGGATTTTCCTTTACTTTACCTGCCATTATTCTTTCATTCCCCATTTTACTCTCCTAACTAACTTTTTAAGCGAGTAACTCTTACTCTAAGTAACCAATAAGACAAGGAGGAACATTTACTCTAAATAAATGATAGCACAGTGAGTGATCTTTACTCTAAATAAACAGAATCACAATGAGTTTCCCCACATTAAATAAAGTGTAAAATAGTGAGTAACATTTACCCTAAGTAAAAATGAACACAGAGTTTAACAGT